ACACGTAATATGTAGCCAACATTTGGAAGAGGATTGTTTTCAAGATGACTTGGATAATAGCACGTTGTGACAAACACCAGATACAGCACTGGGACTTGATCAACAGCCGATACCGCACCGTGACGACACAAACCAGTAGGTGGCAGTAGTGTTCTTTGACAAACATGGATGCCTCCAGTAAAGCACATTCACATGAAAATTACTCTGAATTAAAAACACTGATCATTTATTGAACAGGATGGAATCATTTCTTATTTAAAGTACTTTCCGAAGTTTAATTTCTAAATGTTACCAAACTTTTCCTTTACGACACCAGACCCCCCCCCCACGCTACCCATAGATGATGATTAATGGATGGAAAAGGAATCAATTCAGGAAGAACATCTGTTTATCTGTACATTTTATTAAAATATACCATTATACTATTTATACAATTCTCAATAATTAACAGAAACATGAATAATTAATGGAAACATATTTAATATTATTACAGCCATCTAACCTCTGATGGCAGACAAGCTTTTTCCCTTTCTTGGGTCTTTCTTTTCCGAGAAAGCGGTTGGAATGCCTCTGTGTCATCACCCTAATCTTTATTTCCTGCCACAGATTTCCTATCAGATTAAATCCAGACTCTGAATGGACCACACCGAACCATTAATGGTACTTCAATAATAACCTGTCAAAAAAAAAGATACGTTTAAACCTTGATTGGCTCGAGGTGTGAATACTTTTGGGCCTCACTCTATGTAGTTAAATTACATAGAGAAAAATTACTTCATGGAACCATAGGGGGAATAATCCAACAAATAGTGTCTGTATTACTCAGTCTGAGAGATTATGAGTTGGTTTGATGTGTTGGAGTCCTTGATGTCAGTCATGTCTGATATTTAAATGACAAATACGCACTCAATTCTTAAGAGTTCAAAGTCAGAGTCAAGGACTCTGCCCATATCCTTTGAACGGGACCTCTCTCTTTTGTCCTGGCGTTCCACAGGGATTGGTACTTGGACAGCTTCTGTTTATCTTTCTTTGGGTATTTCTTCTTGGTTATGTCTTTAAGACTTCACCTCTGTTTCTACTCAGATGTATGCATAACATAAAGATCCCTGGAGTTTCACAGATTTCACTGTTTTGTTTTTAATGCACAAAATTAATTCAATTTAATTCAGTTTATTTCTATAGCGCCAATTCACAACACATGTCATCTCAAGGCACTTT